CCACTCATGTGCCCCTAAAGATTTTATTTTTATTTATAAAAAATTTTTAATGTGTTTTATTTATTCCTGAGAGAGAGAGGAAGATACAGACTCCGAAGCAGGCTCCAGGCTCTGAGCTAGCTTTCAGCACAGAGCCTGACATGGAGCTTGAATCCACGAACCATGAGATCATGACCTGAGCCGAAGTCAGACGCTCAACCGACTGAGCCACCCAGGCGCCCCCTAAAGATTTTATTTTTAAGAAATCTTTGCATCTAACGTGGGTCTGGAACTCATAATCCTGAGATCAAGAGTCGTGCGCTCCAACTGCTAAGCCAGCCAGGAGCCCCTTAAATAGAATACTCTTGATTTCTTTCCCTGAAGCTTAGCTCTGGTAATGCTTCTCTCCTGCTCATGTTTCCTCAATAGCTCCCCATTAGCCACAGCAGTGTTTCTCCAGTGTGGTTGATGGCACTCCCAGATGAATTGGTTGATGTTAAAAAGGCAGGTTCCTGGGCCCCACATCAGAATCTCTGGATGAGAGGCTCTGGCTCTAGAGACAGAGCCATTTCCTGGAGGTTGTGGGCCAGACCTGCTGACCACAGGGGCTTTGTGGTTCCTCAAACCAAGTGAATAAAATGCACCCACAGGCTAAATAGATGTCTTCTTTAGTATTTTTAGAAAGGTGTTTATAAATCTTACAAATCCAAGTTTTGTTACAAATAATATTGTTCCTTTTCTAGAACTGTTTATTACATTTACGTATATAGTTCTATGAGAATTATATTACAGTTACAGCCGGTGTTACCTTCTGTAGTGTTAAACACTTACTCGTTCTGAGTTTTGCAGTTTTGGGGTCAAATTTGGGAAATGATGAATTTCTTTCAGTTTCTAGACATTTTTGGAGGCCCTTGAAAAGCAGGAGGTTGTTCAGCTAACACCCAGAAATGCTTAGCTGTCCTGGGTGGGGCCTCTAATCTCAGTGTTTTTTTTTTTAGCCATGATCCTGAGATCAAGACCTGAGCTGAGATCAACCTTCAGATGGGGTGCCTGGGTGTCTCAGTCAGTCAAGCATCTGACTTCAGCTCAGGTCATGATCTCGCAGTTCATGAGTTCAAGTCCCACACTGGGCTCTGTGCTGAGAGCTCGGAGCCTGGATCCTGCTTCAGATACTCTGCCCCTCTCTCTCTGTGCCCCTCCCCTGCTTGTGCTCTGTCTCTCTCAAAAATAAATATTTTTAGTATATGTGCTGCCGAAGCGAGCACTCTCTCAAAAATAAATAAGTGCTAAAAAAATATAAAGAGTTGGAAACTTAACTGAGCCACTCAGCCACCCTTAGAATTTGAACTTTTAAAAAGCATTTATTTTTGAGAGAGAGAGAAAATACAATTGAGGGAAGGGCAGAGAGAGAAGGAGACACAGACTCTGAAGCAGGCTCCAGGCCCTGAGATGTCAGCACAGTTTGAACAGGACTTGAGACCATGAGCCTTGAGATCATGACCCGGGCTGAAGTCAGACACTTAACTGAGCCATCCCTGGAATCTGAATTTTTAACAAGCTTCCCAAGAACAGCACGTTTTATGAATATTTAAGCTAGGAGGATTGAAGAGAGTCCAAGAGAAGAACTGGCCAGAGCCTCACACAATTTGCTAATCCTGAAACAACGTGCATCTCCCGAAAAGTTAGGGACCTAGCTCTTCGCTCCGAAGCCAGTTTAACAGTAAACTGTGTTTTGACAGTCATGCCACAAGGGGGCAGCACCCAGGCTGCTAAACAAGGAAGCTGGTCAATTCCAGAGCTAGCTGGTAGAAATGTTCGGTTCCCAAATACACCATCTTTCTTTGTCCTAGTTATAGGTAAACTTTGAATAGGCTTTAAAGCAGTTTTTGTGGATTCCTGTGCAGTGTTAGCTGACCAGTATTCATTTTGTCTTGCTAACACAATTGTAAGGAACATTGGGTTTGTGTCGGCTCGTCCCTGTGGTTGGGGCCAGGAGAGTGAGGTGAGAAGGGAGGAAACGGGAGAGGGAAGGGAAGGACAGACAGACAGAGTGAGGAGGCAGAGAGGAGACTGGGGGTGGGGCCCGGGAGAGAAGCCAAGAGCACAGAGCTGGAGACATTTCTCATCTTCTCATCTTCCGGTGACTTCTTGCAGGCTGACATCTAAATGGTTCGGCTCGCGGCTCAGCCCACTCTGACCTCACACCTTCCAGCCCTCCTTCCCCTCTGCTCCTTCTTCTCACCTACTTGCTGGCTCAGCTCTACCACTTCTCTGAATGTTCTGCATGGGGGCTGAGTCCCTCCTGTTACACGAACAGGCCACTGCACACCTTACAGGCCTGGCACAGAGTGAGACGGTACTGATTCCGGCTCCTTACAAGGCCTCTGTTCCAGACAAGTGGTCCTACCTCAGGACTGCCATATACTCCGGGTGCTCCCACCTCTGGGTCTTGACTCCTGTCTGACTAGAACACCCTGCTTCAGATGCCACCTCCATTACGAAGCCTTCTCTGACCCCCGTGGATGTGGGTGGGGTAGGGGAGATTTGCCAGTCCCTAAAACCTGTGACTCTTCGGCCAAGCCACGGGTGGCTTGGCTCCTTTCTGCCTCACGTCAAGGCCATGTGCTGGTCTTCCACTCTTATCAGGCCACCAGCTTCCCCAGCACAGAATGTCTTCCTGATGACTGTTGTGTGCCCCATGGTCTCCCACACTCCACGCTGCATATACCGATCATGGTAAAATGAGCTATTGAGATTGGAAATGTACAGTCGCCTGGTGGGAAGAGCAAGGATGGACAGGGAGCTGGGGTTCTGGATAAAACCCTCCCACTGATCAGCCTTGCAAATCTCCAACCATGAAACAGACACAACTATGCTTGTATCTCAGGCCTGAGATACTGAGTTAAGAGTGTTCTCAAGCCTCCTGTCATGGTCACGGATAATCGGATAATCGTTTTGACTGGTTCTACGGATGGTAGATTACTGATGTTGCTAGTTAACTCCCGATAATCTCATTCTAGAATGCTGAAGTCCTTAAAAGGCAAAATATAGCTCAACAGCCTCACACAGGACCTGCGCAGCAAACTACAGCATGATTCTGTTTTATCCTGACTGTGGTCTTCTGCAAGTTGGCCTCCAGGGCTGCTTCTAGAATTTTCTGACTAGCCCTTCGCTCTACAGTGAAATCTTACGGATTTAAAACTGTCACTCAAGCGGTGCCTGGGTGGCTCAGCCCATGATCTCCTGGTTCAGGAGTTCGAACCACACATCAGGTCTGGAGCCTGCTTGTGATGGTCTCCCTCTCCCTCTGTCCATCCCCTGCTCATAATCTCTCTCAAAAATAAACATTAAAAAAAAAGTATCACTCAAAATGTTTCTAACAATGCCACTGTATTCTGTGCCAACTGGTTAAGTTCGGGCGCGCTGAGCACAGGAGTTTTATAGGACCGTGCTATGACCCTCTACCTCCCAGATTAAAATCCTATTTTCAGGGCAGCTGCCACTGGCTCAGTCTTTAGCCTCCCCGACACACCTTATTCTAGGTTGGCCTCTATACAGACTCACAAGGCCGACCTTTTATTTACAAGAGGCTAGCGATAGAAGTGTGGTTTCTTCATGACTACTCAGTGGTTTGAAACCTGTGTTTTATAATCTGAAATTGGTATCCATTCACGATCCACGTGCTGGGAGTTTTAATAGAATTAGTGGCCCCAGGGGCACCTCCATGGGCATCGGTATTGTTTCTGTTCAGGTCATGGTATCAGCTCTGGGGCAAGGGACTCCTGGCTGGCAGCAGAGCCCTGATTGGGATTCTCTGTCCTGCCTCTGCTGAGGTGGGCACTGCCTCTCAAAAAAATAAAAAAAGTCCCCAATAAGAGACTTCCACATATTCATTGTCCTTGGTCAAGGTATGGCCTGACATTTTCAGTTTCTCCAAGTGTCTTAGTCACTGAACTCTGTAATACTATCAACCCATTCCCTGGATAAAGCACTTTTGTATACCTCCCAGGGGCCTGAGGATTACATTAAGTCCTACACCGCATTTGTCCCTTTGTTACAGCCTTTAGGAAGGCAAGATCCTGTCACTGAGGGGACTCAAGGGTTTCTAATCAAACCACTCAATCAGCTCACAGGGCCCTGAGGTCCTCCATAGCCACTCGCCGGGATACCCAGTGAATCTGTCCACCACGCAGTCCCTCCTTTCAGGACTCTGCAGGGAACCTGAGGGACAAGCTCACACAGGTTTTCTTGGCCAAGAGGTAGAGGCCCCAGTTGATCGGTGGGTACAGACTACTCTCCACTGCCCCTTTCTATGGCTCCTTCCCACGTACAAAACAAGACTGGTAATACATAAAAATACAATCTGCAAATCAGGTGTTTCTGAAAACAAGTTTTTATTTAAATAAGGGCTTAAATACATTACATAACATTAAAACTGAAGGAAAAAAATAAACCAAAAAACGAGTCTGTTACTTTACATGGCATTGGGCAGCTGCTGCTAGTAAGTTGCAAGCTCTACGGCCAGCTACGTGACTCACACATCAGTTTGAAGTTTGTTCCCTTGTCAGAAGTTTAACTCGGATAGGTTGGCCTCACGTTTGGAGTTCGGACACCAGTTACTAGGATGTGTCTGGTCACGGAGACCTTGGTGGAAGTCAGATGCCCTATCACACCTCACTGGAGGGAAGGTGGCTGCTCTAAGCTCCGCCCACCCGGTCAGGTCAGACACACTAGGGATCTTTCTTTGACTACCAAGGACTCCCTGTGGCAGCACCGCTGCCGTGGCTGTTCTTACCCCATCCTGTCCTCTCTGCTCCACCGTGGGCTGCTCGGGTGGTGACATTCTTAGGGCAGGGAACTCTGGAGAGAGAGCCGAGGAGCTTCTGGCCAGACACAGTCGGCTGTGATCTTGGGGCTCTGGGCTTGACCGAAACATCACATTACTGCTTGGTTTCAGGCCGGACACTGCCAGGCGCCTACTGCTTGACCTCTGTTTAAATGAGGGACTTCAAGACTAGACAGCATGGCTCTTTTCAGTTTATTGCATGAAGGAGTTACACTAGTCCAAGTTAAAAGCAGACCCCAAATGGTTACATTATACAAGCTGTGAGGTTTTTAAACTTGTGACAAGGGACAGAAGGGAAATTCTACTCATTGCAAGGAAATCCTCACTTAAGCTTCAGTGAGCCAAAAGCACTTAAAACCCATGAACCTTCAGCTGGTCGTCCTTAGCCAGTCCAATCTACAAAGAAGAAAAGGACAAAGTTATAAAGGTGATTAACCCCCACCCCGATTTCTGATGCCAACAACCCTTTCTTGCTCCTAAACTGGGCAAGAGAAGTCCAAGAGCCAAGCACACACTTCAACCACTAACACGATGGTTCTTTTAACTTTTCATTTATTTCAGAGAGAGAGAGAGAGAGGGGGAGAGAGGGGGAGGGAGAGAGAGAGGCAGACAGCCTGAGCAGGGATCAGAGAGAGAGGGAGACAGTCTGAAACAGGCTCTAGGCTCTGAGCCGGTAGTCAGCACAGAGCCCGACGCGGGGCTCAAACCCACGAACCGTGAGATCATGACCTGAACCAAAGTTGGACACTTAACCCACTGAGCCACCCAGGTGCCCCTAACACAATGGTTCTTAACTCAAGGCACTCAGTTAAGAACCAATGATCTAACAGGCTTTTAGCACTTAGAAAGAGCCAACCAGACATCCTGCTGATTTAGTATCTGTGTGCCATTTAAATGTGCATCTTTAAAGTAAATCCATGTACAGGGCACCTGACTGGCTCAGTCAGTAGAGTGTGCAACTCCTGATCTGGGGGCTTTAAGTTCTTGCCCACACAATAGGTGTAGAGATCACACCTTAAAAAAAAAAACAAAAAACACTGAATTTAAGACATATGAGTCCCTTGTTTTTAGAATTACTGCTCTACTTCAAAACTCAACTGTTGTCTTCCTTAGTCTTACAAATCCAAATTCTACGACCCCAGCACGGACTGAATAGACCAGGAAGGAGCTGACAGACGGGTGGATGCACAAATGGATTGTCACCAAACTGACCAAACTCACCTCTACAAGGAACTGGCATATGTTCTTGCGCTGGTCACCCTGTAGCTGAATTACTTCTCCATATTCTGGATGCTCAATTACAGTACCATTGCAGGCAAATTTCTGCAAGCATAAATGAAGCAAGAAACACATCAGCCCAAGCCAACAGCCCAGTGCACCAACAATCCCTCGTGGGAATCCAAGCGAGCAGCCCCTCCCAAGTTAAATGTGATGTTCTTAAAATCTCCCCAAACACCTACCTTCTTAAACGCCTTCACTAGTTTCTTTTTATCGTAATCATCAGCGATCCCTTGGACAGTAGTAAGGGTCTTCCTGCCGTTTCTCTGTTGAATTCTTATATGGATATAATCCTCAGTGCCAGCAGGAAGCAGATCATCACCCTTACTTGCATCAGCAAAGGGGTCTGGGAAGAAAGATCAAGCTCGGTTAGAGCTGTTGGGGCTCAGGTGCCACTGTCACCCTCCCGACGGATCTTCTGCGCTGCAGAAACAGATACTGAAACCGCCAGGGCTGAGATCACATCAGACATGTCCTTGATGGCAGTCCCCGATCGGGTCAGGCCGGGACGGCTGGCTTCCAGGCGCCGGGGAAAGGCTGGGCCTCTTGCCCCAGGCCCGCCCTCGGAAGCCGGTCACGTGCCGGGGGAGCCTGGGCTGGCAGGCAGCGCCCCACCCGGCTGATGCAACCGGCCGGAACCAGAACTCCAAGGCGGGGCCAAGCTTCTCGCCCCATTGGCGGGCCCGTTTGTCACTTAGGGCAGGCGCCGCCCCTCACTCCCGGCTCCGTGACAACGGCGGTGACGTAACGGACATGACGCAGGGGTGGCGGGAGGGGGCGGGTGGGGCCCAAGGCGGCCCGGGAGCCATTAGTAAATGCGCCACCCGATAAACGCTGGGCCCGCCCAAGGGCTGCCTCTCTGCCCGCTCCTTCCGGTCGCGCATAAGGACCGACCCCAGGGCGCTGACCGAGGCCCCGCTTCCTGCGAGCCCGAGCATCTTCCCTCTTCCCTAAGTTTACGAAAGCCCGGGGCGCTGGCAGGTTTCCGGGCCCCGTCTCTGGGCCCGGAGCACTTCGCCATCCCACCCAGGCCTTTCTCCCCCAGGGACTTTTCCGTGGCTTACCGAAAGAGTGGAGGTTCTGGATAGCGGACATACGATACGATTCCTTTTCCTCGGTGGAAACGGCCTGCGGAAGGCGGCGGCGGGAGAAGGCGGGCGGGGGGGACGGAGCGTCGGGAAGCGAGGGGGCTCAAGGGGGAGGCTGCTGAGTCCTCGGCGGCGGCTCAGTGACTGGGGCGGAGGGGCGGTGCCTGTATTCACTTATATAGCCGCCCCTGTGACGCCAGCGCGCTGCCCTCACGTCCTGGCCCCACCCACGGCGTCCTGACCCCGGCCCCCTGGCGCCGCCGTTTCCGATTGGTCCGGGGGGCGGGGACGCGGGACGGCGCCTGCGCAGGAGCTCTGCTGCGGGAGGGCGTCCTCTAGATTCCGGGAGCAGCCGAAGGGGGAGGGAAAGGTTGATCCGTCTAGGCGCCTGCGCAGTGCGGGAGGAAGGTGTCAGGGCTGCGCAGAAAACTGGCGGAGGTTTCGGCAGAGCCTGCGTCCTGTGTTCTCTCGTTCGTTCCACCTTGTTGACCCTGTTGCAGCCCTACCTGCCTGGAGTAGATTTTTCATGGGACAGATTGGCACCCCTTAAATGGGATTTAGATGCTGAACCTCCCAAACGTGACAGATTCCCACTGTCATACCTACCCAGTTACCCGCGTACTCTTTCTTTGAAGATTTAGGGCAGCACTTTTATTTAATCAACAAATAATATAATCCAAACCTTAACGAAATCGCGTACTGTTTAGATGAATCTAATCTAAAACTGGATTAATCTACTTTAAGTATATCATTTATATAATCTGACCAAAGAATGCCCACGTCATTAGCATGGATTCAAGGGAGAGTAACTGTGGTTCTGCGGGCAAAGAAGAAGTCAGGTACCCTAAGGGAGAGTGTGTGTGTCCCTGTGTGTCCTTCAGATTGTGTGGGGTAGAGCCTTCTTAGAGAGTAGTCAAAATATGTTCTTCAAAATAGTCAACCTTTGTTGCTCTTTCAGTATATAAATTGAAATGCTCAGTTGCAAGGGCGAATAGAGTGGATTTAGATTCCAAAGGGATCAGGCAGGTAAGATAAAGGCGTGCAGACAGCCAAGTGTGATGTAATAGGGTGTGGAGGAGGCCTGAGGGAGAGCTAGAGGCTGTAGCAGCTACTTGCTTCTAGCCCATTGTGCTGGATCTTATTCAAGACAACTTGGACATTCAGATGTTTATAGAAAATGTCTTGATTTTTAAAAAATGTTTGCTTATTTTTTGGGAGAGAGAAAAAACTTGAGCAGGGGAGGGGCAGAGAGACAGAGAATTCCAAGCAAGCTCTGCTGTCAGCGCCAAGCCTGATGCAGGACTCAGAACTCACGAACCTTGAGATGACGACCTGAGCCGAAATCAAGAGTAGGATGCTCAACTGGCTTAGCTACCCAGGCGTCCCTAAAATCTCTTGATTTTTAAATGTTGCCAATAAGTTGAAGTTTTGGAAAACAGTAGGCAAGCCAAACAAAAAAAAGTGTGTATCTTGGCTCCATGGACTGGCTGTTTATACCCCTTGACAGGGTCACTGGCCTCGTGGAATCTAGTAGGAGAGAGATCATAGACAAATCTGACAGATTGTGAGAGAAGCAAGAAGAAGTAAACAGGGCATGTGAGACCCAGCTGATACTTAGAGGGTGGGCAAGAGCCTGCTGTGGGGCAAAGTGAGAGCCTCCCAGATGAGAAACCCCGAGGAAGGAAGAGCTAGGTATACCTGATAGTTTTTTTTTTTTTAATTTTTAAATGTTTTATTTATTTCTGAGAGAGAGAGAGACAGCGTGAGCAGGGGAGGGTCAGAGAGAAGAGGGAGACACAGAATCTGAAGCAGGCTCAGATGCGGGGCTCCAACCCACGAACCGTGAGATCATGACCTGAGCCAAAGTCGGACGCTTAACTGACTGAGCCACCCAGGTGCCCCTTTGATAGTTTGTTTTGATTCCATCTTTACTAAGTAAATTTCTGGTTAATAATAGTAATTTGGCTTCCTTGATACCAGGAAGTGGAGAACCGTGGCTAGATGTCTGTGTCAGTCTCATGTGCATCCCATTCTCTTCCCCACCTGTGAAGCTCTACCTTCATAGACGGAGCTGTGCTTGACAGGGGACAGTGGATAAATCTTGAGGAGACAGTGAATAAATCAGAGTATGCACACATTTTGTTATACAAAATTTTAAATTGGTAGTGTGGTCCAGCTTATCTTTCCTTTTAGGAAAAGATCCTTTCTGCGCTATTTTCAAGAAATTCTTTCTCTACTTGAGTTTATTCTCAAAAAACTCCTTTTTTGTTGTTGATTTTTTTTTTTTTTTGAAAGTTTTAAAGCTTTACTTTTGGAGCTTGGGTGGCTCTGTTGGTTGAGCATCTGACTTTGGGTCATGATCTCGAGGTTTGTGGGTTCAACCCCTACTGAGGATTCACTGCTGTGAGCTCAGAGCCTGCTTCAGATCCCCTGTCCTCCTCTCTCTCTGGCCTTCCCCCACTCCGGCTCTGTTTCTGTCTCTCAAAATTAAATAAATATTTTTTTAAAAAAGCTTTACTTTTAACATTTAGGTCTTTAAGCCACCTGGAAGTTATTTTTGTGGGTGGTGCACCAGAGATGTCTAATTTTTTTTTTTAACCTATATGGATAACCAGTTGTTCTCGCACCATTTGTTGAATAATGTATTATTTCTCCACTGATTCTTACCTTTTTTGTCATAACTGTGTTTCCATTTGTGTGTGGGTTCGTTTTGGGGGTCTCTGTTCTGTTGCACTGGTCTGTTTATCCCAAAGCCACGTTCCCTTAATTATAGGAGCTTTACCAAAAGTCTTGATGTCCAATAGGATGAACCCCTCCATTTTGTTCTTCTTCAGAATGATCGTGGCCCTTCTGGGTCCCAGTTCCCCTTTCAGCCTTGTGGTGTGTTACCACTCCCCCACATTCCCCACTGTAGTGGTTCTGTGAGGCACCGTGAACTTTCTCATCTCAGGGTGTTTGTACCAAAGCTCTCCCTTTTAAAAAAATAAACCATGTTTATTTATTTTTGAGAGGGGGGAGGAGCAGAGTGGGGGGGAGAGAGAGAGAGAATCCCAGGATTGATGCAGGGCTCAATCTCATGAATGGTGAGATCATGACCTGAGTCAAAACCAAACCAAAAGTTGTATCATGACTGAGCCACCCAGGCACCCCTAAAAGCTCTCCCTTTGCTTGGTACATTCTTCCCCCTTTGTATGAAGTGTCCCGCTCGTCCTCCAGGATTCAGCTGGGGTCATCCGTTCTTTTGAGAAGACTGTATTTTTTTTTAAATATTTTTATTTATTTCTAGGAGAGAGAGAGAGAGAGAGACAGCGTGAGCAGGGGAGGGTCAGAGAGAGAGGGAGTCACAGACTCTGAAATAGGCTCTAGGCTCCGAGCTGGCAGTCAGCCCAGAGCCTGACACGGGGCTCGAACCCACGAACCACGAGATCATGACCCAAGCGAAAGTCGGACGCTTAACCGACTAAGCCACCCAGGCGCCCCAAGAGAAGACTGTATTTGGAGCCCTTTTTGTGCCCCCTCTTTCTCTGTTTTGCATGCGTCATGCTGCATCTTGGCCTGCCTGTTCCCTGGGCTGGCTACATGATTTGCTGGGCCCAGTACAGAATCAAAAATGTGGGGCCCTTTGCTCAAAAATGGTTAAGAATTTCAAGACAGTGAGAGCACAATCGAACACACAGCGCTCCCAGGCCCGGGGCCCCGTGTGGCCGCGCGGGCTAAATGCCCATCAGTCTGGCTCTGCCCTTCCTTTATTTGCCTCCCCTGCTAGGCTGTGAGCTCACAGAGCAGGGTGCATGCCTGTCTCCTCTATGGTGTAGAGTCCTGGTACACAGTGGGTGCCCCATGCTGGTTGAATGAACACATGGGCATACATCGTGGGTGCTCAGTTATTTGGAAGCTGATCACTGATTCCAGGCTATAACCTCTGTTACTCTATTAGTCCTGGGGAGGAGGACTGAAAAAAAATTTTTTTTCTTTTTTTTTTAAGTTTATTTATTTATTCGGGGGGGGGGGTGGCGGTGAGGTAGGGACAGAGAGAGAATCCCAAGCAGCCTCCGTGCTCTCAGCACAGAGCCCAATGCGAGGCTCCATCTCACAAACAGTGAGATCATGGCCTCAGCTGAAATCAAGAGTAGGATGTTTAAACAACTGAGCCACTCAGGCGCCTTGAGAAAAACTCCTTTTGAGAGGTCTGACTCTGGGCTCCAAGGAAAGCTTCTGGATCTGGCCTCCTGGCTCAGGGCAGGGAGGGTAGGCCTACGCGGGCCACATCTCCCAGCTTCTCTTGTGGGGACCTGGTTCCCCGTGCCAGGCCTGACCTCAGTGCATCGTGAACAGTTATCACCACAAACACGCACCGCTTTGCCCAGGGCAGTTCAGCGAGCAGGCCTGGGGCAGGGGGGCAGGGGGGCAGGGAGGCAGGGGTGGGGCAGGGAGGCGGGAGGCCCAGTTCTGGATTAGGACCGGTTTCCGGGGCGATCCTGTTTACCTCTCAGCGCTTCCATTTTATCCCCCAAAGAGGAGGAATGGGTCATTTCTAAGGCTTTTGCCAGGACTAAAGTCTGAAGCTCTGTGCTTCCAGGGTGGGAGCATTTCCAAGGAGCGTCTGCAAGAGTCCACGGTCCAGTGCCGAGATCACCCCAGGTCTGGGAGCTGGTGGAGTAACGATGGGGCCAGGACGAACTTGTCAGGAAGTGACGTCCGTGCCTACGGTTAACGCTGGCGTATTCATTCCTGCGCTCCTACTTCGGAGCTCCAGGCCCGGCAGCCGGCAGCCGGGGGCAGGGTATAGCGTACAGGCTGTGGAGTGCCTGACCCGAGTATCACCTCCACCTCTTCCTGCCGGGGTGACTCACTCCTCCCAGCCTCCACTTCCTTATCTGTACGCAGGGATAAGGATGCCTTTCTCTTAGGCCTTTGAAAGGATTTCAAGGGGATTTCAAGAGATTGTCTCGTGGGATGGGATAAAAATGTAGCGTTATTAAATCACTAAACAGTTTATGGCAGATTCCCAGAGGTGAGGGGGAGAGAGAAGCCCCGAGAGCAGGAGGGGACAGGTGTAAATCCCTCAGAATGGGGACAGGACAGAGGAGAGTGCCTCTTCATGGGGAGCTCCTTAGGCCATGTGGCAAGGGCATGGCTGTGTGGGACACCTGGGGACCC